ATTTTCAATACACTACAACAAAATAATGTTGCTAAAAGGAGAAATAGAACATTGCTAAAAATGGAGAGGTCCATGATGGATCATGCTAAATTACCTATTTCCTATTGGGAAGATGCTTTGTTAACTGCGACATATATTCTGAATAGAGTTCTCTTTAAATCAATATCTACTACACCATATTAGCTTTGAATAGATAGATTCCTGATTTGGGTTCTCTTAGATCCTGAGGATCAACTGTCTATATCCATGTTTTCTTAAATAAATTTGAAAAATTGGGCCATCGAGGCAAGAAGTGTATCTTTATAAGATACTCAGACTAGTCCAAAGGATACGTATTCATTGGTAAAAATCAGGATGAGAGTATAATTGAGATAGAGTTACGCAATGTGACATTTCTTGAAAGTGATTTCGTAGTAGTGGAGAAATTAAAATGGAGAATCTTTGTATGAATTTGATGATAGAGCTGTACTTGATGGGTCAATTGAGGTGCAAGAGGAAACACTTTCACCTCTTGATCCAGGTGGGAGCAATTTATCTTCAACTCCAAGTGATAGGGTCACATTGGAACTTTCACTTCGTCAAAGTACTAAAAAAAAGTATGCCTAAACGTCATTTTGAGATTGAAGGATAAGTTTTCCTAGGATCTCGAGAAGATGTTGAAGAACCAAAATTAATACAAGAAACTCTATCATACCCTGCAAAAGAAAAGTGGAAGAATGCAATGGAAGAAAAATGAGTTTATGAAATCGAATCAAGTCTGGGACTTGGTTGATCTCGCATCTGGTAAAAAATCAATTGGGGACAAATGGGTTTTCAAAATAAAGTGATGAGCTTATGGGACTATAGAGAGATATAAGGCTCGTTTGGTGGCAAGTGGTTATACTCAACAGGATGGTATAGATTTGAAGAGACATTTTCACCAATTGTGAGATTTATTTCAATTCGCCTACTCTTAGCTATCTTGGTACATTTAGATTTAGAATTACATCAAACGGACATGAAGACTGTCTTTCTCAATGAAGAATTGGATGAAGAAATTTATATACAACAACTAATAGGTTTCATTAATATAGGCCAAGAGAATAAAATTCATAAATTGAATAGATTAATCTATAGACTAAAACAGTCTTCTAAACAGTGTACTTGAGATTTGACAAAATAGTTATCTCATAGGATTTTGTCATGATGGACGAAGATCACTCTATTTATTTGAAAATGTCCAATGAGAAATTTATAATTTTATCTCTCTATATAGATGATATCTTACTAGTTGGGAATGATAAAGAGTATATTAAAATCATTAAGAAATAAATGTTCTCAAAATTTGAAATGAAGGATATGGGTAAAACATATTAGGTGTAAAAATCCATAAAAATCGTTTGAAGAGGCTTCTCGCTCTATTACATGAGCCATATAAAGAAAATACTTGAACATTTCAAAATGGAAAACTGTAATCCCATTGGTACTCTTGCTTCAGAAGGCGAAACTCTGAGTTTTCGTATATGTCCTAAACTCTTAAGGAAAAAGAAGAAATGTCCAAAGTTCTATACTCCAATGTGGTTGGGAGCTTGGTGTACACTATGACATGTAATTATCTTGACATTTATTATGCCATAGGTCAGGTCAGCAAGTATCAATCTAATCTTAGAAAAGAGCATTGAAAAAAAGCTGTTAAGATAATATTGGGATATCTAAAGGGTAATGTTAATTACTCATTATGCTATCAAAGGAATTATTTGTACTTAAAAGAATATAAGAATGCTGATTGGTGTGGAGACCTAGATGAGTAAAAATCAACTTTTGGATATGCATTCTTGCTTAATAATGGCGCCGTCTCTTGGAGTAGCAAGAAACAGACATGAATTTTTTTTTATCCACAATGAAAGCAAAATTCATAGCATTTACTTCAGCAATATAGGAAGTTGTTTGGTTAAGGAGATTCTCACAATATCTAAGAGTCCCCATATTGATTTACTGTGATAGTCAGGCAATTATTACATAGACAAATGATCCCAAGTATCATAGTAGAACCAAACACATTGATATAAAATATAATTTTGTAAGAGACATTATAGAAAAAAGGAAGTGAGTTTGTAGTATATAAGAAGCGTTCCTCCTACACATCGATTTAACAAATATTTTTTGACAAATAATCGTGACATTTAGATGAAACAAATCCAACGGTTAGTATCTCATGGATCTTAAGTGGTTATAACTAACTCTCTCATAATCCTAGTGAAATACATACTGACCGTTGAATTTGCTTAATCTAAAAATCATGATTATTTGTCAAAAATACTCGTCAAATCCATGTGTGAGAGGAACGCTCCCTATAGTATATATCTACACACCAAATGGTAGCCGATCCATTTACAAAACATATCCCTAGAGATAATTTTATTACTCATGTTAAATATTTGGAATTACGTAGAATTTGAGTTATGTAATATGTAAACTTTTTTTATGTAAGTCCATTAATGAATACTGTTTCGAGTTCATATGTTAAGAGTAATATTTTGTTGTCATTTAGATTACTATTCAATATACACACATAAAAGTATGTTAAACAGATTGGGATTGGTTCACTCACACGAACATTTTGAGGTGTGCTGAGATGAGACACAATGATCATATTATGTACATGATTCAGTGGCCTTGATGAGATATCAAAATGAGATTACAACAAGTAATCGATATGAATTTTTGCTATCCACAAGATCTGTTCTATAGCTAGATGGAGTTCTTAATTGAGATTGCCTAGATGAATAAATATAAGGAGAACTCATATTAAATATTGAGGAATATCTGAACTATCATTTGTACGCTATATTTTATTGGTAAGATTAGACATACACCTTAAGAAATGAAAAAAATATCGTAACATATGTTTTATACCGCGTGTGCTTTTAACGACCGATGAGAAATGAAAGAATTGACCCCTACTTCTTCATTATGTGAGTCTCTGAGGCATATTTGACCTTACTTATATATGCTTATGACTTTTGACTGTTTCTCGAAATTTTATTTCGGTGTTGCTACTTTAGCATGTTGCTAATAATTATGGTTGATTTGGTTTGAGATGATATGTCTAAGAAAGCAACTCGCTTGAAATGAAGGGATTCAAGTAGGAAAGGAAAAACTATTTTATCTAACATCTCAACTT